CTCCCGAGTGCTGGGATTAAAGGCGTGCGCCACCACCGCCCGGCCTATTTTTGACTTTTAAGAAATATATCATATTTTAAGAAATACAGCCAAGAGGTGGTGGCCCACACCGTTAATCTCAGCACTCAGGAGGCAGAGGCAGGCGGATCTCTGTGAGTTCAAGGCCAGCCTGGTCTACAGAGCAAGATCCAGGACAGGCACCAAAACTACACAGAGAAACCCTGTCTCGAAAAAACAAACAAAACAAAAAAGGAGCCAATAATATAACTGTTTGTGTAAGCCTGGTAGAAAAAACTCTGTTAAAGTATAAAGACAGCTTGAGCTAATTGGGCCACTTGAGTACAAATCCACCTGTGGTCAGACTCTTTCCTTGTGCTGACCCTCCTTCCCCATCTCAAGATCTGAACCTAGAGCTGAGGCTGAATCCCGCATTAGCTGCTCTTCCAGAGGACCCAAGTTCAATTCCAGACACCCACGTGGCACCTCACAAGTGCTTGTATTACAGTTCCAGGGGATCCAATGCCCTCTATGACCTCTTGGGACACCAGGCACTCATGTGCTGCAGATACATACATACATACATACATACATACATACATACATACACTCACACATATACATTAAACAAAAATAAAGCTGGGTGTGGTGGTGCACATTTTTAACCCCAGCATTTGGGCGGCAAAGGCAGATAGATCTCTGAGTTGGAAGCCAGCTTAGTATACACAGAGAGTTCCAGATCAGCCTGGGCTACATCATAAGGCACTGTCTTGGAAAAAAGTTTATAAAATTTCAAAAAATTATGTGTATGAGTATATGGATAAGTGCACATGAATGCAGGTACTTGCAAAGTCCAGAAGTGGACATCAGATCCCCTGGAGCCAGAGTTTGCAGGTGGTAATTAGCCTGATGTGGGTGCTGGGAACCAAGCCCTGTCCTCTGCAAGAGCAGTATACTCTCAGCTGCTATATCTCCTGCCTCCCTTTGAATTTTGTATTAAAATTGAGTTTACCTCAGAGCCGCACAGGTGACCCTGGTGCTCAGGCTTTGTTTGATCAGTTTGTTCCTCCCAATGTGGCTACCCCGAGCAGGTTTTCCTGTCTCACTACTGCGTCTTTAAACGGTGTGTTCGGGCGAGCGCTGAGCATAGTTACTGGGGCTGTGGAAACATGGACCTTTGTTTTGAAACTCCTGTTATAGTGTGAAGTAAACAGAATCGGGACTAAACACTCTCACTTTATGTCAGCACTACCTTAGAAATCAACTTGGTACCATGTACAGGACGTGGCAAACCCGATCACCCGTGCAGACCATGCATAAACACCTGCAGACTACATGAAGTTGAACCAAAGGATTTTGTATCTTTTCATTTAGTTTTCATTTGTTAATTTTAAGTTATTTCTGCTGATCTGATTATTTTCTCCACAGCATTAAGTAATACTTATTACAAAATATGCATATCTAAGATATGACTATTAGAGATAAGGTAGATTTTAGGACATTTTAAAATTAAAAAAATACTTATTTTTAAAATGTGTGTGGGTGTTTTTGCCTTAATGTATGTCTGTATGCCATTCTCATGCTGAGGCCATAAGAGGGTGTCAGATCCCTTTGAATTGGAGTTACAGACACTTGTGAGCTGCCATGTGGGTGCTGGGAATTGAACCTGGGTCCTCTGGAAGGACTCTTAATCACCAAGCCTTCTCCCAGGTCCCCATTTTAACTTTCTGTGATTTGTGATTGAATGAAAAAAAGAAATAAAAAGGAAAGAAAAGGACATGACTGCTCTTAGGTATGGTTGAGGAGAAAGTTGACTGCAGATAAAAGCAAGAGCATACGTAGAGGCAGAGACACCTGGGATGTTCAGAGTGGACACAGCCAGGCTGAGCTGGGTCAGGTGGAGAGGGGTGTAGCAGCCTGGAGGCCAAAGGTACAAAAGAGGCGGGTAATAAAAATGTCTGGATTATATAGGGAAGAGCCTCTGGGGAAAGGGCAGCCCAGCCCCCGGACTAGAGGCCATACCCTGTAGTGGTATTGTGTTCCCCGAAATATTGTGCACCCTAATAAACTTATCTGGGGTCAGAGACAGAACAGCCACTAGATACAAAGACTAGAAAATGGTGGCACACATGCTTTTAATCCTAGCATTCCAGAAGCAGAAATCCATGTGTTCAAGGATACAGCCAAGCATGGTGACTCATGCCTTTAATCCCAGACAGTGATCCTTTAATCCCAGGGAGTGGTGGTAGAAAGCAGAAACATATATAAGGCGTGAGGACCAGAAACTAGAAGCATTTGGCTGGTTAAGCTTTTAGGTTTTGAGCAGCACAGTTCAGCTGAGAACCATTCGGAGATGAGGACACAGAGGCTTCCAGTCTGAGGAAACAAGACCAGCTGAGAAGTTGGCCAGGTGAGGTGAGCTGTGGCTTGTTCTGTCTCTCTGATCTTCCAGTGTTCACCCCAATACTTGGCTCCGGGTTTGATTTTATTAATAAGACTCTTTAAGATTCCTGCTATAGGCCGGGCGGTGGTGGCGTACACCTGTAATCTCAGCACTCGGGAGGCAGAGGCAGGTGTATCTCTGTGAGTTTGAGGCCAGCCTGGTCTACAGAGCTAGTCCAGGACAGGCTCCAAAGCTACAGAGAAACCTGTCTCAAAAAACCAACCAACCAAACAACAACAAAACAAAACAAAACAAAACAAAAAGATCCCTGCTATAATACCCTTTAACGGGTAGGGACTGAGGGATGTTGGGAGAAACTGGAGGCCAGGTCCCCTTGGATACTTTAAATAGGCACCTCAGCCTTTTGTTCCGGGTTTGAAACTTAATAGTGATGTGTACTCCTCCCTAGTAGTAGAAAAGGGCAAGAGTTAAAAAATTTACAAGAGTTAAAAAATTGGGCATATTTTCCCAAAATCACAGTGCAACTCAATTGTGCTATTCACAAACCAAGTATAGAATTTACAGAAGACCTTAATTCCTGGTGCACTCATGGTCCTAACAGAAGGCAGGCAAAGTCTAATGCTGGACTCTGGATGTAAGATTTCCCTTCCTTCAACAACCATTACTGCCCCCAGAGGTGACTGCAAACCTTGAACTTGGAGCAGAATTGAAGGTAGATGTTTTCAGCTTTTTCTCAGGAGCACAGGTTTTTTTTTTTTTTTTTTTTTTTTTTTTTTTAGATTTCTGAATGGCGCTGGGGAGGCAAGGTCGTGGTATGCTCCTGTATTTGGTCCAGTACTAGTGTGGAGCCTCCCTGCTTCAGAGGCTTCTGGAAGAGTTTGGCCACTCCACTGCTTATTAACTGAAGTGATTAACATTATAAGATCCACTGTGTGTGGGATGGGTGGGGTGTGTGTGTGTGTACGGTTTATGGACAGACCTCGACAAGACAGAGAGAGGACGGGAAATGGTGACAGGGCCACAAGCCCAGGGAAATTCGTTGTGAGCTTTTTGGCTTTGATTTCATGGTATATTTACTGTGTCGTCTCCATCTCCTTTTTTAAAAGATTGATTTTATTTTTATATGCATTACGTTGTGTGGAAATGTGCGTGTGAATGTAGTGTCCTCGGAAGCCAGAAGAGGGCGGCAGATCTGTAGTTACAGGAGGTAGTGAGATACCGAAAGTGGGTGCTAGAAACGAACACAGGTCCGTCACAAGTGCAGGATTTAACTCTTTAACTGCTGAACCATCTCCATCTATCTTCCATTCTTTCCTCCTCTCCTCTTATCCCACCTCCCACCACGCTTCTGTCTCAGCCTCCAAGTGCTGGGATTACAGGAGCAGAGAAAGTGCTGGTAACAGGTGACCCTCCCTCCGGGAACCCCGTGGAATTTCCCTTTAGAGTCCAATCTAGAGGGGCAGATGAAGGTGGTGATGAACCCAGATCGTGGACTACAACTTCCGGCATGCCCTGCGAATCTGCGAGTCAAGTCTCGCGTGACGTGCTGCGGTCTTGCTCTGGGCAGTGGTTCGGCTGCCGGCCGCCGGCAGTCCTCGGTCGGGGAGCTTTCACGATGGCTCTTCGCTGCTCAGCTCCGCAGCCTCTTGGGCCATCTGGAGCCTCGGAACCTCTTTAGTGCCGGAGTTCGGGCCGCAGGCGGCGGGCGAGCAGGTGACAGATCACGGCCTGGCGCCGCTGGGGACAGTCAGCCTCCGGGCGCCGCGGCCTCCGGCCGGGTGGGAGCCTCCGTGTACGCGCGCCGCGCTCCCACGGGCTTGGCCTCGAGGGGTGGAACCGTGGAAGGGTCTGGCCAGGCGTATACATCCGAGAGGCTTTGTTTTGTACCCCCTGAAGGAGAGACGTGGGCTTGGGGTCTCTGAGGGAGGGGGAAGAGCTTGTGTTTGTCTTGCGGATGCCCTCTGGGCTGCGGTGAGTGGCCCCTGTGAACTTGAACAAAAATTCGGGTCAGTAATGCCTGCTGTGCAGTGCGTCGCAAGGGTTTTTAAAGACGAGTTTTCTGTAAGGTGCGATTACTGTTAGCCGGCGTTAGTAATAGTGAATTGTTCTTCTCTCTTTCATAGCCCATTTCTGTCTAGCGGAAATGCTAACATAGCTTGTGAGGCCGATAGTTGGGCATGTACAGGGCATCATTTGGTGGACCTGGGAGCGCTGTACCAACCCCGGTTGTTTATTGTTATTAGAACCTCTGGATGGACTCTTCCTCGGAAGCTTTGCTAATTTGCAGCAGCTGGGCAATGCTCCTCATTACCATCTGTCTGTCAGTATAGTCCCGCGTCATTTCACTGTGGTAAGGTGTCTTCACTGTGCCTTGTCTTTACCCTCTCAGGTGTTAAGATGAGCCAATGGATACGGTGAACCTTGAACTTTACCCTTTTGGGGTGTGTTTGTCACACATTGGTTATAGTATATCTATGTTTCAACCTTGTTAACAAGCCATAAATCGCTGTGTGTCTGTCAACAGAACAGCACTGGAGTGATCCTCTGCTGTTCAGCATAAGAAAATGCCCTTTGTTGTTTTTATTAGGTGGCAGGGACTCAGCTCCGAATTCTGTATAGAGAAAGCGCCTGGATCCTAGTCTTTCAATGGCTTCAAGACAACCAGAAGTGCCTGGTAAACTTAGTTCTTTTTGGTTAAATCTGTTTCGCACTTACTGATCTAAACTTATTTTCTCCAAATCACATATTAATGGTTCCTTTTTGCGGCTAGGGAAATAGGTTGTTACCATTTTAGTATTAGCTCATTACCCTCCCAGCCATGCCCAGATCTAGACTTAGAGCCACTGCCCTTAAGTGTATGACAGATACATTATTTATGCCAAAGGAGAAGAATTAACAGTGTGTTTGTAGGGTATATCAGCATGATTAAATTACCCTAGGATGGAGGGCTGGGCAAAAGGTACTATCACTTGTTACATCTACCATAGTTGTAAAAATGTTTGCATCAACATTTAGTATGTACTTGGTTTGTGTTGCACAGTGCTGTCTGGGTTGCTGACGTCATTGATTTCTCCTTGGACTGTTACCAGAAAGGAAGGTGATTTTTAAATCAATCTGAATCGCCAAGTCCCTGATTCTCAGGAGTGTAGATGGTCTTGCCTGCCCATCTACTGTGAAGATTAAACAATTTTTTTTTTTTGTTTTTGTTTTTTTCTCTGTGTAGTTTGTAGTTCTTGCTGTTTTGGAACTCTCTATTTAGGCCTGGCTGTCCTGGAACTCACAGAGATGCTACTGCCTCTGCCTTTTGAGTGCTGGGATTAAATGCATGTGCACCACTTCTGGCTCAAAAAGTTTTTGATCTCTTTGTAGGAACATTTTTCCTAGTAGAGGTTAGCTGGCTTTATGTCTTTGTTTTTATGAAGCCATTGGGAGAAGTCTTAAACATGGTTTTGAAATTGCTCCCCAGTTAGGTGGGTTAATGGAAGCTCCCCCCTCTGTGTGTCCTAACATCTTTGTCTCTCCCATTACGCGTGTCTTCCATTCATACCACATTGCTGTGCACTCGCTGCAACCATGCGGAGCTGTGGCGGTGCACTCTTAGGCCAGTGCTTCTGAGCATGCGAGCCTGGGGGCCCTGGCTCCGGTGTCCCCTGCACACTCGCCGCCTGTATGATACTGCTTATGTCCTGTACCAGTTTCCCAGTCTGGGAATAGGGAGAAAACGTGTTTGCTGAGGATTAAGCTACAAGGAGGGCTGCTGTTAGTGCCTGGTAATTTTATTTGTGTGTCTGTTTTAGTTGAGATACAATGCATATACTGTAAATTCACCCACCTAAAGTAGGTAATTTAATGGTTGGTGTGTTCTTAAGGTTTGTGCATCCATCAGATTAATCTACTTACAGAGCATTTTCATTCTCTCAGAAAGACTTTGTTCCCATTAAGAGTTATACCTCATTGCCCTCTCTTCCTGGCCTTTGGCAACCAGTAACCTCTTGGGTTTGTTAGTAGTTCTTAATATTAGTAATAGTCACACGGTAGCTCTGGGTCCCTTTGCTGTTTAAGTGGCTGCCAGGCAGGTTGGTATCTTGAAGGATATGATGATATAACAGGAAACTCACTTTGAGTAAGGTTCTGGATCAGTAAACCAAACAAAATGAACCTTGCTCTCTGCTTTGGCACAGCTGAGAGTGCCCTTGAAGCATGATGTCTGCGTCACAGCTGGACATTCTGGCAGTCAGTCCTGGGGACAGGAATGGCAGGATCAAGCTGGTAGTGTTAAAGAGAGTGCCTGTCCGTATTGTCTTTGATGGAAATGTTTAAGTCATCAGAACACTAGAGACTAGAGGTGGTGCCAGACCACAGAGCACTGAAGCTTGTAGTTCTCTTTGTGAAGGAGACACGAAAGGCCGGAGTAGGGCTTGTCATAGGTGTGGTCAGACCTCAGCTAGCCGTTTTCTCTATGAACTGAGGCAAATCCGTTCACCACTATGGTTTAGTTGCCTCATCAGATGAGACAGTGACAGGCTGTGGAGTGAGGAAAAATGAGAGAAGATACCTTTAGTCTCTTTATAGTCTCCTTAGTCCTGTGTGACTGAGAGTTTAGAATCCAGGTTTTGAAATGAGACAGGTTTGCATTTTGACTGGAAATTGTGCTTTGAAGTTGAGACTTCGCACCGGTCAATTGAAGTTGAGCCTAAGGTTCTTCAGTCTATAAAAGTGGAGCAGGGCCTGGGGTGGTGGTGTGTGCCTGTGTCCCGCACTTGGAAAGAGCTGAGGTAGGAGGACTGACAGAATTTGAGGCCAGCTGTGCAAACTACACAGCGAGTCCCAGCCAGTCAGGACTCCATGGCAAGGCCCTGCCCGAGAAAGGAGGGGAGACGAGCGCTGCTGGGTGGAGTGAGGAGGAAGGCAGTCCGCCTGCCTGCATCCCCTCCTTGCAATGGATTAGTTGTTGCAGACAAACTGTCCTGAAGTTTCACAACTTTCTTGTCCACAGATTAACTTAAAGCCACTAGTATGTGCAGTTGGTATCCCATATTGACAGGTGTCTCTGTTCTTAGCTCTTGCGCCCAGTGGGCCTCTAGGCAAGATGTCCCTGCCCATCGGGATGTGCCGCCGGGCATTCAGCTATGATGATGCCCTAGAGGACCCTGCGCCCATGACTCCTCCTCCATCGGACATGGGCAGCATCCCCTGGAAGCCAGTGATTCCAGAGCGCAAGTATCAGCATCTTGACAAGGTATCTTACCCTGCTGACGGCTTCTGGCAAACTTACCCCCTTTGTTCTCCTCCTGTTTCAGAAGCCTTCAGTGATTCTCTGTTCCTACAAAATTGGGCAGCAATTGTTCTCTTTGTATATTTTTTGTGGTTTTTAAAAAATTCAAAACTTGAACAGTAGTGTCACTTGCTTGAGAGTCTTCTGGACTCTACTTCCCCAACTAAAAAGCCAAACTCCAGAACCTCTCAATGCCTGAATTCTGATGAATCCTGCTTTCCTCTTTGTACCGTCTATTATCTAGCCATAGAATTATTAGGCTATTTGCATAGACATAATGAGCTAGTTGAGGGAATAGGACCCAAGTCTAAATATGAAATTAATTTATGTTGTATGTATACCTCCTACTCATAGCCTGATTACGCTTATATAGTCATTTTTTTATGTACAAAATGAAGTTTGTGGGATGTTTTACTTCCTCTTGTGGTGTCATGGCAGTGTGCAAACGGCCTCAGATTTTTGGTCACTTTGAGAGTTTAGTTTTTGAATAGTGATGCTCAGCCTGTAATCTGTTGCAGTCCAAGGTTTGTCATAGAGTCCAAAAAAGCCTTAACAGGTTGGTTTTGTGATTGGCATAGCACAGGTCTCTTGAACAGCTGCTGTGTTCTTGCTTGTGCTTGTGTGCCTTTCCCTTGCTGGCAGGGAGCACAGCACCTCTCCTCAAGCTCCTTCCTACACAGCTCCATCTGCACTCAGGGCAGGTCGGCCCCAGGCCACTGTGTGCACTGTGCTGCTGAAGCCTGTGCCTCTCACCTCTGATTCCATCCCCGGACTACAAGAGAGATCATCCTACTGCCTGAGTGAACCAGGCCTCCTAGAAGCTCAGAGAAAGCCATTTTACCTGCAGCTTCAGCTGGAGGCCTCAGAGGAAGCATGCAGTGAGGATCTGCTCAAAGCAGACCTGGAATGGATCCCAAGTGGCTTCACTTGGACTGTTTAACCCCCAAGTGCAGTGCCTCTGTCTGAGAGCAGGGAATTCTTTGTCTTAGAGGTGGTGAGGGAGTAATAGTCTTAAAGACTTGGTCGGTGTGTGGCTGAGCTGAGCCAAGGGCTGTCTGTGCTCTCCTTTCTGATGAGTGCTACCTTGTTATTCTTGCAGAACAGGGGACTTCTTTCCAAGACCCATCCCCTACTGCTCTGGAGAGCTCCTTAGTCAGGTGTCAGCTGTAGTCTGAATCAGGTAGCTGTTGAAGAGAAAGTGTTCTAAAGACTGGGAAGCCAGGCGGTATGGCACACAAGTTAGAAACACAAGTTTTATTTAAAATTATTATTATTATTATTATTTTCTGTGGTGCTGGGGATAGAGCCCAGGGTTTCACACATGCTGGGCTAGAAACAAATTCTTTTTTCTTTTGACATCGGATCTCATTATGTAGTCCAGGTTGGTCTTGACCTCACGGCAGTCTTTAACCTCCGTGCTGGGGCTACAGATGGGCGTCACCGTGCTGTTTCTTTGGTCCTGGAGATGGCGTCCTTGTGTCTCACCTCTGACAGCCAAGCAGCCTGAAATGTATTTGGTCAGTACTCAGGTCACTGATAAGTGGCCAAGCCTGAGGGAGTGATCTGTTCAGGCTGACTAAGGCTCAGTACTTGGCATATGGTTAGTGCTTTGTAAGAGGTGTCTCCATTTTGTTTATGTTCCCTTGTGTGTCCTTTCTTTCCTCTACCCCTCATTAATTTTTCCTCAGTTTTGGAGGAAACTTGAGGGTTTTTGGAGGGTTGTGATAGATATTCCATCCTTGCCTTGAACTCACTGTGTAGCCCAGACTAGACTTGAACCCACACCAATCCTGCTTCAGCCTCCAGCACTGGGATTCCATGTGTGTGCCATCAAGCCCAGTCTGCATCTGCAGTCTTAGGGGCAGACAGACTAGAAAGTTCGGCCTTTCCTTGTGTGATTCCAGGCTCTTCTCATAGGGTCCTTTCCTGTTGACACTGTGGCCAGTGGAGGTTGCCACTGTCCCTTTCAACTGTGTCTTCCCTTAGAGGTTACATATTCTGTAACTCTTTCTCTAAAGAAGTAAGTGTAGGTGTGTGGCGGCCCCCCCTCCCCCGCCCCCCCTCACCTACTTCCTTGCCTCTCTTGAACAGACAGAGGAAGGAGTGGCCAGTGTCTCTTCCCTTGCTGTGATTCCATCAACAGCCACTGACAATTCAGAGAAGGCTCCTGTGGTGAAGGCTAAAGCTACCCATGTCATCATGAATTCCCTGATCACAAGTAAGCGCCTGTGGTGGTATTGTGTTCCCCAGTATTGTGCACCCTAATAAACTTATCTGGGTAAGAATAAGCCACAATATTAAACATAGAGGTTAGGCAGTGGTAGCACACGCCTTTAATCCTAGCACTCCAGAGGCAGAAATCTGTCTGGATCTCTGTGAGTTCAAGGCCACATTGGAAACAGCCAGGCATGGTGACTCACACCTTTAATCCCAAGAAGTGAGCCTTTAATCCCAGGCAGTGATGGCAAAAACAGAAAGATATATAAGGCGTGAAGACCAGAAACTAGAAGCATTTGGCTGGTTAAGCATTCAGGCTTTTGAGCAGCAGTTCAGCTGAGAGGCATCCAGTCTGAGGAAACAGGATCACCTGAGGAATTGGCGAGGTGAGAAAGCTGTGACTTGTTCTGCTTCTCTGATCTTCCAGCATTTACCCCAATAACTGGCCTCAGGTTTGATTTTTATTAATAAGTACCTTTAAGATTCTGCTACAAGCACCCACCCTTCAGTCTCAGCAGAGTAAATTGAGGGAGGGAGAGCTTGAGCCTCAGCTGCAGATGATGCTCAGACCTGCTTTCATGGGGCCTACATCCGACTGGCTCTGAATTTCGTCAAGGAGGAAGATGTACTGACTGTTAAGCACCTATTGCCTTAGATAGAGCCCTGCGGTTGCTTGATGTAGTCTGGTTTTCCTGTAGTGACCAGTGGGCACCTCACTTTCTTCTGAAGTCGGGGATCTAGCTGGCAGGTTGATGTTAAGGTTAGAGTTCATTAGCAGGAGCTTTGGATCCACTGCTATTCCTGGCCTAGGTGTGTTGCTAGAGAAGGTGGCACACTGGAGGGCAGCCCTCTGCACTGCTACACATGTTTGTTTGGTTTTGAGACAGGATCTTACTATGTACTCATTGGCTTCAAACTCAAAGCAGTCCTCCTGCCTTAGTGTTTGTGAGGGCTGGTCTTGGTCATGCACTACTGTACCCAACTACTTTAAAAAATTTTACATATGCATTTATAAATAATTTATACATATTTTCACAAATTTGTGATAGTGCTGACCAAGACCTTGTACATGTAGGTCCACCAGGAAGAAGACCAGGTTTGGTGCTTCAGTTTCTTTTTTTTTTTTTTAAAGGTTTATTTATTATATATATAGCATGTATTACTGCAGGCCAGAGGAGGGCACCAGATCTCATTACAGATGGTTGTGAGCCACCGTGTGGTTGCTGGTAATTGAACTCAGGACCTCTGGAAGAACAGTCAGTTCTCTTAATCTCTGAGTCATCTCTCCAGCCTCATGCTTCAGTTTCTTTAGTTTTTAGAATGTGTTATTGATAGCCCTAATGAGGCTTGATGAGAGCTTTTTTTTTTTTTTTTTTTAACTTATTTTTCTTAAAATTTTTTTTATTTATGTGTATAGTATGTGTGCTTGAGAGTGTTTGGAGGTGGTGAGGAGGCCAGAAGGTATCAGATCCCCTGGAGCTAGAGTTATGGACAGTTGTGAGCCATCCAATGTGGGTGCTGAAATCTGAATTTGTGTCCTCTGGAAGTGCTTTTAATCACTGAGCCATCTCTCCAGCTCCTCTTTTTAAACTTCTATCACAAGTTACCTAAGCTTCTTCCTTCTCAAGGGCCATTCTAGTTGTTGTGGGAAGTTAATTATTCAGTACTTGGCTCTGCATGTCAGCAATAATACCTGTCCCAGGGCTGAGGTGCGCAGAGGTTCTCCTTGGTTGGCTCTTTTTTATGTCAAAGCTCTTTACTTTCTTCTCCAGGAGGGCATCAGTTTGTTTTTGTCACTTCTGGAAAGTTGCCTCAGAGTCCAAACCCACTGTTTCTCCGTGACTGCACCGTCTGAAGCAGTAGCAGCTAGTTGTATTCTGTAGCTTGACTATTCTGGCATTAGGAAGCATAGCTGTTGTGGCTTCCGAGGGCACCAGGCATGCTCGGTGTACACAGATATACAGGCAGGCAACACACCTGTAACATAAAAAGGAGTGGAATGTCTAGATCCTAAACCAGCTGCCATGCTCAGGTGTAGTGTTCAAGGTTTGTAGCTTAAGAAAAAAGATCATCTCTTGTTCATTTCACAGTAAGTGACTTGTGAAATAATAAACCAAGCTGAAAGAATATTGTTGGCTAGGCCAGGAACAGCAACAGGCAGATCATACATAAGAAACATGGCGTCTGTAGGCCCGGGCTAGTTCAAGGCAGGTTGTGCTATGAATCCGACTGGTACCTTGGTGCCAGCTGGCAGGAGCATGACCTGCTGTCCTTTGGCAAAGCTTCTGTGCAAGTGGTAAGTCTCTTAGGGAGCTTAGTGATTTGGGAATTCTGGATGCCAGGTGCCTCTGCTTGCTGTTGCTGAATATGAAGGTGTTACGGAGTCTAAGTGAGGGGAGGTAACGCATCCAGCATCCCTTTAGGGCAACTTGCTTTTAGTGTGCTGTGAGGGAAGGCTGGCTTCCGAGGGAACCTTTTTGTCAGGATCAGAATTACCATGTCAGTGCCTGTTTGGGGCACCCTTATTCTCCACTAGTCAGTGTGGCCTCTTGCTTCTGGGAAGAACAGCAGATACTTTGTCCCGGCTGGTTTGTGACTGGTTAGGAGTTGAGCATGACTGTTCTTTCTTTTCAGAACAGACTCAGGAGAGCATCCAGCGTTTTGAGCAACAAGCAGGACTGAGAGATGCTGGCTACACACCTCATAAGGGCCTCACCACTGAGGAGACCAAGTACCTCCGAGTGGCAGAAGCACTCCATGTAAGTAACCACAACTGTTCATGGCTTGAAATACGGCTACAGTGTAGAAGTTTACAGCTTAGCTAGCTATTGGGCAGCTGAGACAAGTGACAAGAAGATAATGGCAAAGGGATCAGGACTGTCCTCCTAAAGCCCGGAGGTCTTAGCTGCAGATATTTTGCTTGCTTGTCTGTAAATTGAGGGCATGTTTTGCTTATATGTGACATGTATGAAAACTCTGAACTGTGGACTATTTTATATGCCAGAGTGGTTGGCTATGACAAGTGAGAGGAGAATCCCAGTTCCAAGAGTTAATAGTTCAGCTGGATAACATCATTCTGTTTACTTAGAGATAGGGTCTTTACATATAAGCCTAGGTTAGTATATTAGCATATTCTTTTAATCACAGTGTATGTGTGAGTGTGGGGCTTTCCAGGCTAGCCAGGGCTACATAGTGAGATCCTATTTCACACAAACAAAAAACTCAAAAACTCAGACTAGCCTTGAACTTGTGATCCTCTTGCCTCTGCCTCCCAAGTATTGAGGTTATAGGTATGTGCCATCATGCCCAGATTATACTTAACTTTTTAAAAATTAATTTCAGGAGCTAGGTGTAGTGGCACACATCTTTAATCCCAGGGTTTGGGAGACAGAGGCAGGCAGTCTGTGGGTTTGAGGCCAGCTTGGTCTGCATATTGAGTTCCAGGCCAGCTAGGACTACATTGAAAAACCCTGTCTTGGGGGGTGCAGAGATTATTTTGATGAGGGTTTATTTAATGATGGTTAAAATTTTTCTTTGTGGCCAGGCATAGTGGTGCACACCTTTAATCCTAGAACCCAGGAGGTAGTGGCAGGTGGATCTTTGAGTTTGAGGCCAGCCTGGTCTACTGTGGGGGGCCAGCTCCCACATTCATTTATCCCAAGGACTCTTGAGGAGTGAGGGATAAGAGATGTAGATAGAAATATAGAGGAGAGAGACAGACAAACACAAGATAGCCTCAGGAGGGCCTGGGTCAAAGCCCACGGGTCTCTACTAAGGGGCTTTTAAAGGAATGCCAAGGGGTGAAGCAAAAGACCTCCCCTCAGCACAGCCAAGTGCAGACCATCCCAAACACCTGGTAACCATGCACATGGTCAGTCCATCCCCTGATATAGTCCTGCTGTGTAAAGCAAGCTCAGATCTCACTAGAAAACCTTTGTGGGCTCCCACAGTCTACAAAGCAAGTTCCAGGACAGCCAAGGCTGTTACACAGAGAAACTGAAACCCTGTCTCAGAAAGTCACAAAAACCAAACCAAACAAACAATTTTTTTCTTTGTGCTACCATATCTTGAACCCAGAGCTTCATGCACACTTCGAAGTGTTCTACCACTGAGATACATTTCCAGCCCCTCACCCCCTTGTTTTTTGTTTTATGGATTTTTCTGTGTATGGGTGACTTGTCTACATGTGTGTCTGTGTACCACTTTTGAATCTGGTATCTGCAGAGGCTAAAAGGGCATCAGATCTGGAACTGGAGTTACAGACAGTTGTGAGCTGCCATGTGGGTGCTGGGAACCAAACTTGGATCCTCGGGAAGAGCAGCCAGTACTCTTAACTGCTGAGCCATTTCTCTAGCACCTTCCTCTACCTTTTTTAAGATGCATCTTTCTGTGTAGTTAAGGCGGGCCTCAAAGTTATGGTTTTCCTGTCTCAGCCTCTCAAATGCTGGAATTCCTGGTATGTCGCTATGCCTGGCTGTGTTGAAATGTTTCAATGACTTCTTAAAAAATGTTTTTTTAACATTTATTTATTCATTTATTTTGTGCGTGCGTGCGGTTAGTTCATGCCATGGAACATGTGGAGGTCAGAAAAAACTTGCAGAAGTTGATTCTTTCCTTCCACCCTGTAGGTCTAGGGATCAGACATCGTTGTCAGCCTGGCAGCAAGTGTCTTTACACACTGAGCCTTCTCACTGTGGTTCACATGGTTCTTTTAGAGAGGCCACTTCATATGGAATGGTGTTCTGTGACTTACAAATTCACATAATCTTAACATTGATCCTTGGTGGTAGATACTATGTTCTGTTTTGTAAATAAAGGAGATACTGGAGAGATAAATCAGTCAGTAAGGTGCTTGTTACAGAAGCATGAGTATCAGTCCCTAGAAACCATGTTTAAAGCCACATATAGTGGTCCATGCTGGCTGCCTCAGTGCTAGGGAGGTAAATAAAGATAGGCGTATTCCTAGAGTTGGCTGCTAGCCAGCCTAATCTAATCAGCTCCAGATTCCAGTGATATGATCTCAACAAACAAACAAACAAACAAACAAACAAACAAAAAAACTAAAGTGGTGACAGACATAGTGATTCATGCCTTTACTTCCAGCACTCAGAGGCAGAGGAAGGCAGGCAGGTTTCTGTGAGATCAAGGCTAGCCTGATTTACATAGTGAGTTCCAGGACAGCCAGAGCTTATATAGGGAGACCTTTCTTTAAAAGA